AGAGAGAGTGAGAGAGAGAGGAGAGAGAGAGGAGAGAGAAAGAGAGAGAAGTTAGTTGAGGTTTTCTTGGTTTTAATCAAATGTAAGAAAATGTCTTGAATTATTTCTTTTCTTTGATATTCTCTATTTATCCTCTGGAACTCCAAACATAAGCTTGTTAATCAGTTTGATTGATGCTGACTCTGTATCAAAGAACCTCTCTTTAATTTTTTTGCAGTGTCTAATCTGCTATTTTTACTGGTCAGTACATTAATTTTTTTCAGTAATATATTACTTTAATATTAATATTTGAATGGGGGTCATTTTTAGTTTCCATTTTTAGGTGGGACCTGAAATCCAGAAGAAAAAAATCAAGGAAGTGGCTTTCAATCTCCAGCACACAGACTGCTGCCAGTCAGCTGAAATTCTTCCCAGTCTGTGAAAAAGTTACTGCTGCTTAATACATGTTATACCTGGTTCATGTAGTGGTGCTATTATAAATACTTACATATAAATATTGATATATAAATATTCTTATTGTATACAACGGTTTTCACTTCTGCCTTAGGAAGTCACAGAATAGTTTTCTTAATTTCACCAATCTGCAGGTGTAAAAATCTTGACAACAAGTAGTTTGAGCATTATTATGGTAAGTTGAGTGCAGCTTTGCCTTTCCTTTTGAGATATCATTTTCATTCCCGAGACTTGACCTCCTTGGAATTTCAGAGAGTGCTCAGTTTTTACAAGCCTTTCTAACTTGTTGGATCTTGAAATAAATTTTTTCTTTTTTTTTTTAAGCCATACCTGGCAGTGCTTAGGGGTTATTCCTGGCTCTGTACTCAGGAGTGATCCCTGACAGTGCTCAGGAGACCATATTTGGTGCTGGTAATTAGAACTTGGGTCACCTGGATCCAAGGTCAGTGTCTTAACCTCTGTACTATCTCTCCAGCTCCAAGTTCTTCAACTCTTAATCTGTCCGCCCATGACTGGAAAATCGCTGTCATCCCTTGTGAGCTCTTTGGGCCTGCAGCTCTTGCTTGGCTCCTTGGAGTCACCACACACAGTGACAATTCAGGACTCAAAAAAAGGTTGAGGTGTGGTGAGGTTTTTTATTTTTTTTACTTAAAAATACTTTGCCCAGAGTTTATATTCTTAGCACTATGATATACTCTGTCACCAACGTTGCAAATAGAAATCACCTCCTTCCAAAAAATTGTTTTGGTTTTTGTTGTTTTTATGTCTTGCTTTTCTGGATTTCTCAGCACATATTTTAGTCTTCATATTGGGTAAATCAGTACTAAGGTTTGGTTGTCTTTTCTAAGAATTTTATTTAATTGGCACATCACTCAATGATCCAGTACATTCATTATTGTTCCTAATTAGTTTCCTAAGGTTTCTATGGTTCCTAAGGGTCACTAGTAGTGATCACATCTTGAGTTATTTTTTAATTCTCAGGGCTTACTCGTGACTCAGGGGTCACTTCTGGTGGGCTCAGGTGACCATATAGGGTACCAGGGATGAAACACGGATCACAGATTGTATGCAAGCACCTTATTTGCTGTACTATACTTCTCCAGCCCCAGGTCATCTTGAGCTTTCAGTCCAAGCTTAAAATAAACTTTCATCTGTTTTATGAAGAATACAGTCACCTGGTTCAAAAATTTGAAGGTGGAGCCAGAGAGAATACATGGCTAGGGCAGTTGCTTTTTACGTAGCCAACCCGGGTTCAATCCCTGACATCCCGTTTGGTCTCCCAAGCACCACCAGGAGTGATCCCTGAGCATTTCTGGGTGTGCCCTCCAAACAAAACAAAACAAAACAAAACAAAAACAAAAACAAAATGAAGGTAAAAAGGGCATACAGTAGGCAGCTTCACTCGTATGTTTTTAAAACTGACACCTACAATTTTTTTATCTCTTGCATTATAGAAGCAAATTGGTTGTATCCTGTCATTATCCTATGAATTCCTTGACAAAAAAATTTCCAAAAACAATTAATGACATCCATCAACAGGAATCCTTGCTGAGGAAAGCATCTATTGCATTTCATTCTGCAAATATTTACTGAATTATACAGTGAGCCAGGATAATGTGAGCCACTGTAGAGCAGAAACATGAGTCATATGGTTGAACATGCACTTGTCTTAATTAAAAAGGAGAAGAGAGTAGAATGAAGAAATCTGATGCCTTCTATTTGACCCAGTTGGGAGAGTTGATAGAAAAAGTTTTCACCTCTGTGCAGATAATACCCAGAGCTAAGGTTCTGTTCTTGGCCCTGTCCCTAAAGGGTGTCTCCTCAGTGCAGCAGCAGCCCTATTAACAGCCAAGCTCAGCACTGGATTCAAACACTTGGCTGGCAGCGTGGTATCTAATTCACAGTTCTTTGGGAGAGGAAAATAAGCTACGGCTGGCCTTCTCACAGAATGTTGAACAAGCTACAGTTGATAATTGAAGGGTTGCTCAAAGGGATTGGTGTTCTCCGGCCAAGTCTGAAAGGAGTAAATCTCCTTCCCAGCAGCTGAAAAAAAAAACCCACTACGGCGTGGTCACAATAGGTAGACTGAAAAGACTGTGGAGGCTGTGCAAACCTACCGAGGTGGCCACAAACATATTGTGTACATGGCCCCATGTGGCCACCATTACAGGTTTCCACCAGCTTGGATAGAGCAGGTGGAGTAATGTGTCCATGGCGGCAGGGTTGGAGTTGGAGAGCTGGGTGTTTGCCAGGGATCTGGGCATACTGCTGAGGAGGGGAATGGTCAGTCAGGTTTATCTCCGGGTAAGTTTATTCCTCTGCAGGAATTTTAGATGGCAGCACTCCATCTGCCAGTTGCTCCTCAGTGAGAAAGTAAAACTTGTGCACCTTCTAGGCTGCCTCTTTTATGGGAACGTAACATGGGGCTTGGACCATTGACTGCCACTGGGCAGCCGGCCATGCCATTCTGCTTTGCTGCAGGAGGCCTTTTGAAGTCTTTATCTGATCTTTCACTCAAATGCTTGGAACAAAACTAACTTATAAGCACGTTTATATCCTGTGATGATAAAAGTCTCCAGAGAACGGAAATGAACTGCATAGTGTCTACATTGATTCTTTTGAGATGTGTAAGACGGTCACTGAGAGTTAATTTAACATGCTGTTCTTGTGGCTTAATTTTATTGACAGGAGAAAAAAAGATTGGGGGCCAGGGAGATGGCTTAAAGCGCTAGTTTGTATCCTTTGCATGGGGAGGGGCTGAGTTCAGTTCCCACTACATGGGTTCCCTGAGTACTGAGCTAGGAGTAGCTTTCAGTATCACCAGGTGTGGATAAAATTCTCACCTCTCATCCCTCAGAACAGATGGGGTTTTCTTTCATTCCCAACCTCCTGTTCCCTAATTTTCCCATCTTCATGTGACTTAATTTGCTCAATGGAAATTTTCAGGGATTAAATTCTATTTGTTTTGTTTTGCGGCCATATGCGGTGGTATACAAGGGTTAATCCTGGCTCTTCACTCAGGGATCACTCCTGGTGGGGCTTGGGGAACCATATGGGATGCGAGGGATCAAGCCCAAGTTGGCCGTGTTCAAGGAAGTGCCCATATCCACTGTATTATCTCTCTATTGCCAGGAATTGAATTCTTATGGGGGAAGGTTCTAGAGCAGAACCAAGAGAGATCCAATGTAGGCTGCTTGTTTAAATTGTCTATGTCACCCATTTTAAAAGGTGAATTAGAAATGGTTTCCATTCCTTTCACATTACCTGGTATATTGAAAATATTATTTCAGCAGATAACATAAGAATTACTGAGGAGGATCCAGAGATGTAGCTCAGTGATAGAGCATATGCCATGCATATATGGATTCAATCCCCAGCATCCAAACCAAAAATAAGGTAAAAGGTAAAGGCCCTCCCATTGATCGTTGATCCCGTTGCTCGAGCGGGCCCAGTAACATCTCCATTGGAGACTTTGTTGTTACTGTGTCTGGCATATCGAATACTCTCGGTAGCTTGCCGGGCTCTCCGAGAGGGGCGGAGGAATCGAACTCGGGTCGGCCATGTTGGCCGCTTGTAAGGCGAACGCCCTACCCGCTGTGCTATCGCTCCAGCCCAACCAAAAATAATTGATGAGATATTTCGCTCTTTTTGGGAGGTGGGAGTCATGCCCAGCAGTGCTCAGGGATTACTCCTGGCATTGAGCTCAGAGATCACTCCTTTTTGTGCTTGGGGGACACAATGTGATGATGGGAGTCAAACTTGGGTTGGCCGCATGCAAGGCGAAACACCTTTCCCCACAGCACTATCATTCTGGCCCCATTAATTTGCCTTATTTTGCATGGGGCTGGAACACAAGTCACAGTGATGCCTTCAAGTACCCCTATGCATGCAGACAACAAATGCTTTAGGCCACCTTCTAGGAGAGCACCTGAGGAGAGACTTTAGAATGGGGTCAGAGGTCAAGGAGATAGGTCAAGCAGTAGAGCTTGGAAAAGACCCCGAGTTCGATCCCCACTATTGCAAACCTACTCTCCCACTGCATAGTTCTTCCAACACCACCATTTTTTCTTAAAGTGGGCGGGGGGGAGGTGTAAATTAGAATGGCTTCAGATGCTGGAACTTCAGCTGGCTTTTTCCGATTAAGGTAAGTTGGAACCTGGGCAGGGGTGATGGCTTAAAGGGTTGGACTGCACGCTTTGCACAGGGAAGCCCTGGGCACTGTCTCTGGGCACCCTATGGTCTCAGGAGAGTGCCCTCTAGAGCATCCTCCAGGAGTGGTTCAAAAACCAAAGTGTAAAGCAAAGCAGGAGAGCATCGTGTGCGGGGAAGTCCATGCCGGGTCTGGAAGGCGGCGGTTGGGCTGGGCAGGAAGAACGAGACCTGAGAGGGACGCCTCAAACAGTGCACAAGTAGGATTTCCCTTAGGGCGGCCCTCTAGTTGATGGCCGCTTCATTTTTTTTTCTCACCTTTCTCTGACACCCGGTTCATAGCAGTGGCGGTGGTGCTCAGTCTCCCCAGCGCCAGGGTTATGGTCACGGCCACGGCTATGGTGGCCTGCACGCGCACCTGCCCTGCCACCTGCCGCTGCAGCAGCACCGACCGTGGGTGCTCCGTGCATTGCGACCGCGCAGGGCTGCAGCGGGTGCCGCCCGAGTTCCCGTGCGAGGCTGCAGCCATCGACCTGGACCGCAACGGTCTGCGTTTCCTGGGCGAGCGGGCCTTTGGCACACTGCCTTCGCTGCGCCGCCTGTCGCTGCGTCACAACAACCTGTCCTTCATCACGCCCGGCGCCTTCAGGGGCCTGCCGCGTCTAGCCGAGCTGCGCCTGGCGCACAACGGCGACCTGCGCTACCTGCACGCGCGGACCTTCGCCACGCTCGGACGCCTGCGCCGCCTCGACCTGGCCTCCTGTCGCCTCTTCAGCGTGCCCGAGCGCCTGCTGGCCGAGCTGCCCGCCCTGCGCGAGCTCACCGCCTTCGACAACCTGTTCCGCCGCGTGCCGGGAGCCCTGCGCGGCCTGGCCAACCTGACGCACGTGCACCTGGAGCGGGGCCGCATCGAGGCCGTGGCGTCGGGCTCGCTGCTGGGGATGCAGCGCCTGCGTTCGCTCCGCCTGCAGGGCAACCGCGTGCGCGCAGTGCACGGAGGAGCCTTCCGAGACTGCAGCGCCCTGGAGCACTTGCTGCTCCACGACAACCAGCTGGCCGAACTGCCGCCCGATGCCTTCCAGGGCTTGCACCGCCTGCGCACCCTCAACCTGGGCGGCAATGCGCTGGGCCGCGTGCGGCGTGCCTGGTTTGCTGAGCTGGCTGAGCTCGAACTGCTCTACCTGGACCGCAATCGCATCGCCTGGGTAGAGGAAGGAGCCTTCCAGAACCTCTCTGGCCTCCTGGCACTGCACCTCAATGGCAACCGCCTGGCGGTGCTCGCGGGAGCCGCCTTCCAGCCCGGCCTCTTCCTGGGCCGTCTCTTTCTCTTTCGCAATCCCTGGCGCTGTGACTGCCGCCTGCAGTGGCTGCGGGACTGGCTGCACAGCTCCGGCCGCGTGGCCGACGTGCCCTGCGCCTCCCCGGGCTCCGTGGCCGGCCTGGACCTCAGCCAGGTGGCCTTTGGGCACTCATCCAGCGGTGTCTGCGAGGACCCCGAGGAACTGAACGCCACTGCTGCACGCGCAAGCCTGTCCCCAGAGCCGGCAACCACCAGTGCAAAAAGCTTCAGCAGTCTCCTCTCCCAACTCCTGTTGCCCCAGGCTGTGGTGGCGGCCACCAATGCCACCGAGGAGCTGGCCAACGCCTCATTGTTCCCTGGCCTTCCCTCCTGCGGATCGCAAGGCTCGGGCCGCAGCCCCGCATCGCTTCTGGGTTCCAGCCTCCTGCTCAGCGTGACCCAACACATGGGGTTCATCCTGCACACACACTGGGCTGGGCTGCATTGGGGTGGCCCAAATGCTGTGCCCAGTGGGGGAAAGCTTAGCTGAGTTTGCAGGTATTTTGTGGTGGTGGGTGATGATAGTTCCAGTAGAGGGGGAGGTACGTTTGCCTCCAGAGACTGGGCAGGGAGACAGATTTCTGCTCATGGCACATGGGCATGAGTTGTTAAAGCAAAGAAAGAATGCACATGGGTCTTCTGCTGAGAAACCCAGGAATTGGAAGGTCCTACAGCTGGAAGGGAGAGCTCCACCCCCCCCCCCCCACACACACACCCTTAACCTCCATCTTCCAAGACACATTCACAGTGGCTGAATTACATAGCCTGTCTGTTGGCTAAGTACTAGGAACTGTGCCAGTTCTTTTGGGCAGGCCACCTATTAAACCCAATCCCTCTGTTTGCTATTCCAATTTGTGTGCCCTCCTAGGTGCCTGGCAACGTGAAGTTCTAGGAATAAGGACAGGTGAGGAGAGAAGGGGCCGGGCTCAGAGAGAGATGCAGACTTCAACGTGGTGGAGGCGATTCCTAAAGTCTGAAACGTGTTGGGGGAGAGTAAAACAAAAATCCATTTTATTTACTGTGCAGTTATTCCCAGGCCTTAGCCAAAAGACTGAGGACTGGGGAGTGGACTTTGTAAAATCCTAAGATTGAAGTAAAAGGTTAAAGCAATTTTTCTTTCATGTGCTGACATGCATTGTGACTCTCCAGGAAGGCGACACATTCTTCAGCGCAATTTGTGGGAAGAGTGTCAGCAGGCAGAGGTTGTGTTCACTGCTCAGGGAGCCTCCAGCTCAGGCGGTATGTAGCAATTATTAGGGAATGCACATATTGGGGCTAAGGACCAAGAGGAAAGGAGGTAGCCAGATCCCTGAGCACAGAACCAAGAGTACTTCCTGCTAGATATCATCCCAAAATAAAAATAAAACCAAGATAGAGGGAAAGGGAGGCTGACAGATTTCCCAGGATAGGAGTCAGTTAAACTAAAGACCCTAGAACTGAGTGACAGAGCAAAGACTATGGCTGCTCCAATCAGGTACAAGTTCTGCCCTGCACACAAGAAACGATGAGTGCATTTGTCAACACTCTGGGAATCCCTCCTCTTGTGTCCTTAGTTCCCTTCACTATATTTGAAGATGTGGATTTTCCAAGCCCCCACGGATTCAGGGTGTGCCTGACTTCAGTTCTTCCCTGCATAAGCACCTCTGTGACCTCGTTTATGAGAAAGGTTGCAGAAACCACTAGAAAGTGCAGGAGTGTTTTAGTGACTTGTAACCATCAGTGGTTATCAGCTCACTTAACAGGTCACAAGAGGTATTGTAAGAGACAAGATAGGACCAGAGAGATAGAGTGAGGGGTAAAGCACTTGCTATACATGTGGCTGACCCCAGGTTGACCCCTGGAACCACATATGGTTCACCCACATATGAACACTACCAGGAGTGATCCCTAAGCACAGAACCAAGAGTACTTCCTGCTAGATATCACCCCAAAATAAAAATAAAACCAAGATAGAATAGAGAAGTCATGGTGCATCACTTAGAGCTGGGTATGAGTATTGTTTTGTGAGACTTCTTATTTGATTTGTTGTACGCATTTGCTCATATTATATATGTATGTATGTGTGTCTTCAATTGCTCTGTACAATTTATGTTTTAGTGTGGGTTATGGATTAAAAAGTTTGAAAGCCCTTGATCTGAAGCATGCATTATTCCGACCCCCTTCACTTTTTATTTTGAAAATTTACAATCTTACAGGGGAGTTGACAACAATGGTAGAATGAATCCCTGGGTCACTTACCTAGGTTTCCCCATTGTCAACATTATACTACATTTGCTTCTCTCCCTTATTCTTATTATTTCTTATTAACAGTTTGAGTTTGTCGCAAACAGCATGACCTTTAACTGCTAAATATGTCAGTATACCTTTCCTAAGAACAAGGTCACACCTTATCCACAATACCTTCATCAAAAACAGAACTTTTGGGTCAGGGAGATAGCTTAAGTGGTAGAATACTTTAGCATGTGTGAGACTCCGAACTTTGCCCCTGCAATCACATGCTCCTTAATCTAGGTGTGGCCCTGGTGGCCCTGATCCGTATCAACAGGAGTGGATCCAGGCTACCTCAGCACCCTTGTGTGTGTGACCCCTATCAAAACAACACAGGGGCTGGAGCGATAGTACAGTGGATAGGGCATTTGCCTTGCACGAATCTGACTTGGGTTCAATCCCCGGCATCCCATATGGCTCCCCTGAGCACTGCCAGGAGTAATTCCTGAGTGCAGAGCCAGGAGTAACCCTTGAGCATTGCCGGGTGTGACCCAAAAAGCAAAAAAAAAAAAAAGACACGAAAACCCAGTAACTTTATCATTGATTATTATTTAAAACATATCAAGAATCTGGTATATAGTTTAGGAGAGAGCACTTTTTTTCCCCTTTATTTTATTTTATTTTTTTTAAAGTTGTAGATTTACAATTTTTTGTGCTTTGGTTTCAATTATACAATGATCAGATACCCATCCCTCCACCAGTGCCCATTTTCCACCACCATGGATAATATCCCTCCCACCCCCATCCCCCCATCCCCCCTGTCTCTGTGGCAGGGCAATCCCCTGTGTTCACTCTCTCCTTTTGGGTGTTGTGGTCTGCAAAAGAGGCATTGAGAGAGCACATTTTTTTGCATTCCCAAAGCCTGGACTTGATCCCTTGCATGGAAAATTAAAATAATAAAATATTGAAATTTCAGCAATTGTCAAAATGATTTCTTATGCAGTCATTCTTTTTTTCCTATGAAAATGAGCTTCCTGAAACAAAAAGAAAGAAAATGAGGTCCCTCGCTTGTGGCTTGTTTAATGTTTCATAGTGAATTCATTTCCAAGTGTCTTTTCAAATGTGAGAACCAGATGAGACCAGCAATGTTGTTTGCTTAAGCCCTGTGTTGTGGCCATGGTAACTGAGTGAGAAGCACAAGGATTCTGCAGATCAGATCTCTGCTTTTGAGTAACCATGGCAATCTATGGCAGACAGGCAGCCTGGGTTACTGGGGAATAAGATTTGGCCTTGGGGGGAATGACCTTCTTTCACTGGAGTGGGTTCCTGCCACTGACTTTCAAAATGCTGCTGCTGTTTTGCCTAGATGGTGAGATGACCAGCTTTTAAAAGGATCCTTTCTTTAGCGAGATGTTGCTGAACAAGTATCAACACTGAAATAGCCTCTGGGGAGATAGACTTTTATAGAGCTACCCAGCCCAGTGGAATTCTGGGAACGTGGGAGTTACTTCCCGCCAAACAGACCCAGAGTCACTGGAACAAGGGAATCGTGCACATTAGGAGCTCTCATGAGGAAAGAAGGAGTGGAAGGTTTCCAGATTTGAGCTCATCATGTCGCTCCCCCAATCACTGGTTTATTAATCCCTTAGGAAATATTAGGAAATGCTCTGCTAAGCAACAGGACATATGCATCTGTCAAGATAGACCAATAGTCTATATATCAATGGTCTATGTTATGCTGTGGACTTCCAATGGCTTAGTGATGGTTATTTCTTTCTCATGGTATGTAGCCAATGCAGCTTTATGGGGGAGGGGAGAAGTCTACTTACTTATCAATTACATGTGTCCCAGGATGAAGGATCTACCATCTTAGGATATTAGGAAAGTTTTAGGAATACCCTACATCACTGTCGCTGGAGCGACAGCACAGTGGTAGGGTGTTTGCCTTACATGCAGCCAACATGGACAACCTGAGTTCGATTCCTCCGCCCCTCTCAGAGAGCCCAGCAAGCTACTGAGAGTATCGCCTGCACGGCAGAGCCTGGCAAGCTACCCGTGATGTATTCAATATGCCAAACACAGTAACAACAAAGTCTCCAATGGAGACGTTACTGGGCCCACTTGAGCAAATCAATGAACAATGGGAGGACAATGACAGTGACAGTGACACTGTTAAAAATGTCCACTTATGTCACACACACATTTTTCACACTTTACTGTTCTAAACACTGACTCAAACTTCACCAACAGAGAGAAATATGTTCTGCCTGAAGGAGTGAAGAATTCTGGGTATTGGTCAAACATTAACATTGCTCCAAAGTACATACTGACTCCTGGCAGCTCCCCTGAAAGAATGAGGCCTGGACTTCTCAGAACTGTTAGAAAAAATAAAACTTGAGGGTAACATACGTGTGTGAACTATTCAACCCCAGAGTGTGGCCTCACTGGATTTATTCTTTCAATAGATGGGAGAGGAAATGTAGAGACAAAGGTATATATTTACACCTTAGAAAAAGTTTTCTACTGGGGCTGAAGCATTAGTACAGTGGATAGGGCATTTGCCTTGTACATGGCTGACCCAAGATCGATCCCTGGTATCCCATATGTAATCTGGACATTCCCCAAGCACCTCCAGGAGTAATTCCTGAGTGCTGAGCCAGGAGTTCCTGATCACTGCCAGGTGTGGCCCAAAAACGAAAAATAGAAAAAGAAACAAAAAAAAACCAGTTTCCTACATAAACTCCTTACAGTATTTAAATCCCTGTCAGCTTGATCTTTGGGAAAAAATCTCTTTCTCAGAACCCCTTGAGTGTTTGTAAGGGGCTTCCCTGGGGTGGTTACACTAGGATGATCAACAGTCATTCTGTCTACCTGCCTTCTCATCAGGCTGCCCCAGTTCTCCTTTGTTCCTTTCCCCCAAACTTCAAGGAAGGGACCTTACTCTCCCCTTTGATCCCCTGATCCAGGGACAGTTTTGGCATTTCTCTGAGTCTTACAGACAGAAGAGAACACCAGCTGAGGAGCAAGAGGGCACCTTCCCAAAGTGTTGGGTAGACCGGAAGAGTAGAAAGTAACACTCCGACTACCCGATAGAGCTGTTGGCAGAACCCTAAAATCTATCTTCTTACCCACACACCCTGCCATGTCTCAACCCTCATGTTTATGCCACCAAAACACCCCAGAAGGACGTTTCTTTCTTGTCTCCAGTGTCAAGCCCATCTCTTCAATCTCATGTGGGGTGGGGTGGGGGGCAGAACTGTGACAGTCCTGAACAATTCTTCA